GTATCTAGAGTAAACAACATGAAGTAAAAAGTATAAATTTTCCTCTAAAATGTAGTGAAGTACAATTATAAAGTGCTATAACATTGAAAAACTTTAGTGGGGGTTATCAGGTACAAGCACTTGATTGATTCATGAAATTGTGCAGTCTCTATTCCGGTCCAAGGTTCAGCATAGCTAAACCTGCAGAAGTCACAGATTCTCTAGTGTAAACATGATGACTTTCATCCAAACCTGAAGTTGTAATCATTGTTGTTTTTTTGTTGTTTTATATAATGTAAGGAATAATGCAAGAATTATAAATCTTATTCCTAATAGAGCTCTGCATGCTTTAGTATACTACTTTGGTCATGATGATTTACCTAATTTACCCTACCCTGCTCTTTAAGGGTCCATGAATACAGGTCACAAAGACTGATAACAACAGATCATAAAGTGTAGACGATGACCATTTTTGGTAATAACTCCTTCTGATTTGTTCTTAACCCTGCCTCAGAGAGCTGCACCACAGATCAATCCTGCCTTATCGAGGAGGAAGGAGATGAACAAACCAGCCAGTTCGATGGCAGCGACCCCGGTGACATCATCCTCAGGCTCCTGCATTTGGCTGGCCACAGTTCTCCTCATCGAGTCCACCAATGAGCTGCTCTTGACGTCAAGGTCTCACTGCAAGCTCTCGAGCTGTGGGGATTAAATGGGACTTGTAGTTCACATAGTTGTGTTTTTATGTTTGTTGTCATGATGCTGGTTTTGCTCTTTTCCCCTGCAGTACTTCTGTAGAGTGCCTTTGTCAATATAGCCTATTTTTATGTATGAAATTAGGGGTGAATACTTGTTGTGGTCATCCTGTTATCTGCATGTTGAAATAAAGTTTGAAGAGAGAAATAAAGTGCTGTCGTTTTCCCTGACCTGATTAAGTCTTGTGTGTAAAATTACAGTATTTCAAACTTTCCAAATACTTTTCCTTATGAGACATCTTGAACCGTATTAGGGCATTGTGTTTGGCAAACAAATATACAAAGCCCACAAGAGTCTTTATCTTTCAGATAATCCTCCAAAGTATCTCTGGCAAATTCAAATGATCCCCACATGATGGTGTGTGTGTGTTTTTGTGGCAACTCTGGTGACACAATATCCCTGTTGCAACAGTTGGGACTGTTATCTCATAGGCTGTTCACCTTTGATCCAATTTTGTTTTGGTTAACTTTGCAGTCAGTCCCCTTTGGTTCTCTGTGTCCTTCTATGGGTATGCATAGAAGGGCACAGAGCATGCAACAAAGCAGTAAACAAATAAACACAGCATGCTGAAGACTTTTGTCTTTTATCTCTCTGCCCGCCCATCTTTTGCGAGCAAGCTGGAAGTAGTGAAGTAGGGACTTTCCTTAATTTCAGGCACCTGAGGTTAAAGATTGATCCGCTGTAGCTTGAGAATATAAAGGAGGCAGATACTCGCCTCTTTCTTTACCTTCACTGCCTGCCAACATGTCTTTCTCTGGAAAATACCAGCTTGAGTCTCAGGAGAACTTCGAGCCTTTCATGAAGGCTGTTGGTAAGAGTTGTGCAAAACTAATAAGCTTCCTGCACTGAATGAACTGAAATAACAATTTATCTGACCAATGCTTTCCAAACTTTTTGCTTTCTGCCACAGGTTTGTCTGATGAGATCATTCAGAAAATCAAAGATCTTAAGAGCACCTCTGAGATCGAGGAGAATGGTGACACCTTCAAAGTGACATTCACAACTGGCGCAAATGCCATTGTCAGCAATTTCACTATCGGACAGGAGGCTGAACTACTGTCGCCCACTGGAGAGAAAGTCAAGGTAAGCCAAGATACTTAACTTAATTCTACAGGAAACACAATTATGACAACTAAAACACTTATAACACATTTGGTCTGCATTAAATGTTATAGTTGATCACTGAGCCTAATCTTCATTTATCATGCTTGTTGAAGGGGGTGGTTCAGCGTGAAGGCAATAAGCTGAAGACCACCCTGAAGAACATCGTGTCAGTCACGGAACTGGTGGATGCAAACACACTCGTTTCAGTAAGTAGTTTTTCTGACTTTCTTTTCTTTAAAGTCTTCCTTGTTGATTAACTAGCTGGTATTTAATGCATTTTGTTCTTCTCCTTGTAGACACTGACTCTTGGGAACATTGTACACAAGACGACAAGCAAACGCATGTAACTTTCTATACATGATAATAAAAGGAGGGTGAAAAAAAGCAACTGTCTCATGGTTTGACTTGTATGTGTTCAGCAGGCTGTTGTTAAATGCTTCATTTGGGTTTACACTGAACAAGCTCCAGTTCCTCAGCTGGTTTAAAAAATACTCCCAACTAGTTAATTTGGGGGCTTTGGTTTCAGAAATTTTGCTTGCTTGTGTTTTTTTTTTTAAACTTTATTTAAACAAATATAAGCAGTAACATAGTAACAGTAATAGGTTCCCAGTTGAAAAAGGTAAACAAAGTGTGGGGAATACATAATACCAAGAGGTGAAGTGGAAAAATCAAAGGAAAAAAAATAACATAATAACCTGAAATTGACAAGAACAGTCAAAAATTAGTTTAAACCTTTACAAACTGTGCTTAAAGGATGTATCCTGTGCAGAAAACGTATTTCATTTAATTGATAATGCAGTATTTGTCTAATAATTTCCACGCCTTATGTAATATATGAGGCTTACAGTACATGGACTTGAAGTGTATTTCTAATTTGTTGGGGCAAAGGTGAAAGTTGATGCGATTGTGACATTTTTGCAACTTTGTCAGACTTTCCTGCAAAATGTGGAGGCTGTGGAGAGTTAAGTATAAAAGATGCTTTCATTGACGATGTCTACTTCCTAGTGAGTGGTAACAAATAACTTGATGAATGTAACCCGGGATACTCAAAGACCTTGCTTGAATCTAGCTGAATGCTGGCACAACACTAGAATGTCTGGCTTTGTCAAAAATGGAGATTTAGGAGACTTTGAGGCACTTTGAAGCTGCACTGTAAATATTTACAGCTTACAGACAGGAACTTAGTTAAAGCCCTTATATCAAATTTGGCATCCAGCTTACGTTGGTGATTAGCCCAGGATCTGCAAGACAGTTAGATTTTTTTTTTAATTTTTATAAAATAAAACTATCAAAACATCAGTGTGCATCTTTATCTGTGCAGTCAAAGATCCGTTAAGCTAGCAACATCTTCTGGTAATGTAAAACTTTACACTGGGTTAAAGTGCGACATACTGTCATTGCATTTCTTGTACTCTATCTTTTGACCTTATGTAGTGTCACAGCAAACACCAAAGGATGTGGGTCTATTTGATGTACAGGTGCACTAACTTAAGCCTGTTTTGTTTTTGTTTTTTTAAGTTTTATGAGGGCAGAGATAGTAGTGCTTTTTACTTTATAATTCACTCCTGTGGTTGGATTTTGCATCTTCAAAGCAAACTCACAATGTCAAGACATCTTTTTTAATGAAAAGACATATTTCCCTGAAAAACTAAGTGATACAGAAAATGGTCATGTGACTAAATGGCTAGGCTAACATCAACACTCTGAAAGCTGTTAACAGTAAACAACAGGGTGGGGCTCTCCTGGTTGCTGTCATGTGATCACTTCCTCCGGTGGAAGAGATTTTTGATTCCCTCCTCCACAGACTTGGGCTCGTGCATCATGGTCATGGGTTTGTTCTTCAGAGCTGCCTCTCTCATACTGTGATAAACATACTCATTCTGTTTGAACATCCTCAGCTCCATCTCTGTCTGAATGCGCATCGCCTGTGAAGAAATCAGAACAGAAACATCAGCACTCAGTGGGCCAGGAAAATTTTTATTTCTATTAAAAAGTTTAAGGAGACCTAATTTGAATAATTTTAAGGTGAAGCTTACATCAAGGTCCTTAGTGATGGGATGTGTTGGACCATGGGTAACCATGAGAATAGCGTAGGCCTTGCAGATCATCCCATGTGCAACCTCAATCTGCCCAGCCTGCCAGTGGGTCACTCCTGCTCTCATGGCAGCCATACCAAGAGCAGCATTGTTCGGGTGGTACAGCTTCCTGTTAAAGGGATGAGACTCGATTTGTGTTGTGTTTTTAACATTTTCAAGATGACAACCTGTTCTTTCTATCAACATTAGATAAATTATGCTCATGGGTATAACAGGAAAATCCTCTGTATTTTCACATTTACATGTATCCCTCCACCATCTTCCGGGCGTAATCTGCAGCATCATCAAAGTACTGCAGGTAAGCTTGAACCTCGCTCATTGTGCTCCACATCCTCAACAGGTAGATGTGCGTGTCTGCCAGAACCGGCTCTGTCTTCTCAATGCACTCCCTGCAGATTTTCACAACCTGAAGAGACGAACCGCAATAAGAAAGATTACACAGTATCAAAAAAAACTTTTTTTTTTTTCATTTAAGTGATTTGATACAATACCTCATGGTAGTCACCATTTAATCGAGCCTTTTCCATCTTCTCTAGCATCTGAAAGCAATAATCTGTTGCCTCTTTCACTTGTTCCTCTGAAGGCTAAAACATTGGACAGATTTTGGGTCAAGTATTAAAAAGTGACAAAGAAATGTGAGGAAAAAAAATGTTTCAGAGTTATTTAGGTAAGACTGCAGGTAAGACTTTCTAGAATTATAAAACAGAAAGTCTGGTTATTTTTATCCCTAAAAGGACCTTTGACCTGCTGGTGACACACACAGGATGTTTGATTACAACAAACAAGATTTACTTTGTTACAATTTTAATTACGTTTCCACATTATTATTATTAGGTAGCCAATCTGGCGCTTCAAAATAGATGTGGCCAGTTTTTCAGACTTATCCTGTTAAACACAGAAACTCCTTAAACATTTTTTTGTGCTGATAGCTACTGGTAAGTTATTTATAACTTGTGACACACCCGTGTATAGTCTATAAAAGCACACAGAGCACATTAGTGTTACAACAGCAGTACATAGATTCAGATTACATCTAGCAGTGTCTCTCACTTCTGAGACTTTCAGTGATGTGACAAACATTTATGTGTATTTGGCACTGAAAGCTGGATATAAACTTTATTAAAAAATAAAACAGAAAAGAAAGTAAGTAATTAAAATTAATCAGCAAATCAAGTTGAAATTGGTTATTTCTTCTAATAGCTGTTTCTCAAAAGCAGGTTTGAATGCACAGAAGACTGAATCCACTTGAGACTTATCTTTGCTTAAAATAGTCTCTGTGTGACTGCTTCTCATGTTTCTCGCCTGTTCTTATCAGTTCTAAACGCAGTGGGGGGTGTTTGGTTAAACTGGAGACAAGCGAATACTAACCTTGACTCCGTCCTCTTCCCTTCCCCCAATCTTCATGTCATCTTTAATTCGGTTCTTGCAGTCCTCACACGTGCAGTCAAAGAAGTATTGTGTTTTCAGCAGCCTCTGTCGCTCCTCTGACAGATTCAAGAAGTCCACATAGGCGACTGTCAGCTCCTCGCCTTCTGCAATCTTACCCAAAGCACGCAGCTCGATCCTGGGGATGAGAATCACAGTCAAACACGAGCAGAGATGTGGAAACACATGCTTTGTGATTGAGTTTGCGATGGTGAAATCCTGTTCCACAGCGTGGCTTTCAGTCCAGTTGAAGGACTGATCCTTCAACTGAGTGAGATATTAGTGAGTGTCGGTTTATTTCACACAGCACTTACGTGGCAAAACATTTCACGTATATCTGGTTCATTTTCTTTAATTTGTTGTAAAGTTAGTTTCAATTTCAGTCTCCTTGCATAACATGCAAAACGGTAATAATCGGTTTTATCTAACAAAAAGGTTGTATTTATATGAAAATGCTCTTTTTGTCTTATTTTACTTTGGTGTTATGCTGAGTTAAAGGTGAAACAATAAGGAGAAATGTGGTATAAAAGGTAGAAGCTACTACTACACTCACACACGGCAATCTGTGTTGGTGTGACGGACAGACGCACAAAGTGACACACCAGCTGCATTCAAATAAAACTTTGTGTGGACAGGACAAAGGTTTTTTCAGGCGAAGAAATATGAGATAAGAAAAAGTTAGCAGCCTTTTGTTACACTAAACAAGACATTTAAAGGGTTAGAGCATTCAAGTAGCACATGTGAACATGTATTGAGGTGATATTCGAGTCACATCAAACATGCAGTGCTCACCACAGAACACTGCTCGCTGATAAAAAAATTTTTTTACAACAGATTGTTAAGTGTAATGATTTGTTTAATGACAGAGTCTAAAGGGTGCTCTAATAATAAACTTCAAAGGCTCAGGATGAGGCAACGCACCTCCGTTGAGAATGAAACATAGTATTCACAGCCGATTGACTGAAAGACAAACAGGAAGCAGTTTTACACCAAGTGACACCCGACACACACACATTCACACGTAACAGCACATAAACGTGCACAGAAGCTCTGAAAACGTTAAGTATTTTTCACTTTTTAATCAATTTTGAGGAATTTGGAGCTGTAGATAACAATGAGTTGTCATGAAGAGTATTTTTTGTTAACTTACTTGCCGTGGTTGAGGATTACGGTGCAGTTGGGCCAGCAGTCATGGTTCACTAGACACAAGTTGGGGAAAAGACCAACTCCTACTGCCTGGAGACCCCTCTGGTCACTCACACTGAAGCCGTTACAGTTGATCTGGAAAAAAAGGCAATCTTTGATGTGAACATGCATACATGTTGTCCATTTAAGACTGCTACAGGTAAATAAAACAAATGTAAATATTTAAGGCTGCATGGCAGCTGTGAATCAAGGCATTAAGTGCAGAAACAGTGTTGTCTCAGGTAAACTGTCTTATTTATGAATCAGGTTTTCCTACTAAAGACTTTACTTTAAAAAAAACTAACAAATATATGTTTTAGTCATTTAAACGCACCACTCCAAATATGTGTGAGATATCATCAATTGTGTGCTGTTTGCTGTTATGGGGCCAGTAGTCCAGGAAGTTGTGAATGTCCACTTTCAGCTCCTTCAAGTCGTCCTCTGGCATGTCGGCAATGTGGTCCTCCAGCTCGTCCAGCGTGGTCAGCTGCATGTCAGACACCGTGCTCCCCTCCTTGTCGAGGCGCCACATAATGCGGGCCACCACACTGACCACACAAATGAGCAATGGAGAAATGGACATGTAAAGTCAAATCCACATTATCTTTAAATTACTTTTGAAGTGTATTAACATTTACTGCTTTATAGCATACAAGTGCCTATTTAAATTACACATTTGTTGTCCTATAGTAAGTAATAAAGACTAACCAGTCTTTTTTATAGCACTTATTTCCCTTTCCATCCACTTACCGGATGTTCTCATTTGGTACTTTGCCATAAGCTTTGATGGCGCTGCATTCTAGCTTGTGCTCTGCCCAGCCTGCCCGCTGGCAGGTTCGGTCACAATAATGTGCAAATTTACACTGGCCGCACCGCTGCAGCTTCTCTTGTCTTCGGAAACAGCTGTGGCAAATACGCTCTGCTAGACTGCAGAGGAAGAGAAGAAAGAAAACAAGGATAGGCGTCATAATTTAAAATCTGTAGCACACGCATACGACACTCAGTTATCATTTAAAGAGCAGCACTTGCACCTGCTTTGATAGTTCACTCTGTCATGTTTAACTAAAATTGCACCAATAATAATCAGTGTTCACAGCTTTCATCAGTGAGTTGAAGAAGTACTAAAAACACTAATACAAGTGGACTTTGACCGGAGATTATTTTGACCCATTTAGTTAACTGTTATAAAACTCATAATGATTGCTTGTATGGAAATTAATACTAGGATAATCTGCACTTCTAAAATAGAGAAGAACTGATATTAAGGCAGTCAAGTTTGGCATTGTGTGTTAGAAGCACAATTTTAAAAGTACTGTGCACTTAAATTCTTGTTTAGAGGCTTTTAGAAACATTAAAATGTAATATTTTGAAATTATAATGTAGGCTAATGATGGGTAATAAAGCAAAAATTTGTTTTGCTATTAAGTCTATGATACAGAAGCAGAAACCTCTGACTACAACTGTCACACAGTCCACCACAAACAACACTGAAAACAAGACATTGTGTAAATGTGGACTTTTCTTCAGATTCTTCCACATAGTTAATGTTATTAGGGTTTGCTTGATAAGGCTGAGTCGCTACAAGTGGCAAGGCACCATACTCTAAGGAAACTGCTTTTATTCCACTAAAATAAGTAAAAATCAGCAGTATAGCTTTCCAAAATATAAAAACACAACGTGCTCTGGTTAATTTCTAATTACAGACTAACAAAAGGCCAGAAAATCCATTATTCACATGTTCAAATATCCCATAAAGACTGCATTTGAAGGCATCCCCTATCAATGACCATCCACACCCACAACTTACATCCTCACCTTACCTGTCAAAGACAACAGCTGCAATACTGGCCTCGGAAAAAATTACATCTCCTGCCCAAAACTCCTTTGTTGCCTTTAACCCTCTCCCCTTCCCAGGCGAGTCAAATATTGCCACGGTCTCCATTGTAGGTGCGCCGGATTCTGAGACTCTGGTGAATGGATGATGGTCTGAGTGGATGAGAGAAGACTTAGTGTAGGACCTCCAATCTGTGCCTGTGTTCTTCAGTGACTGTACATTCCTCACCCAAGTTACCAAAATAGCCGAGCACCTCTTGAACTGTACCAACAGATGCAGAAGACGGGTTGGTTGGCGTTTTGTCTCTTTAGTTAAGTGGGAAATTAAAAGTCTTCAGTGGGCAGGCTTGTCAATAAAACCAGTTATCTTTGTGCGAAAGTAACACAACTGAAGCTGGTTGTCATCTGTGAGATGTCTTCAGCTTTTACAATTTGTCACATTTTTTTGCTTTACACTGGCAGAAATCCCCTGACCCCTGATGTTGAGTGTTGGTAGACGCCCTCTCCTTGAGGGTTATTTTCGTCCTTCAGTTGTGGCTGTCTGTCAGGAGTCAGTTGTGACGTTGAACAGCTGCGAGAAGCTTGACAGGAACAGAGTTGCTCTATCTCACTGCCTCTACTCTGTTCTGGTGCTTTCTCTATCATGCTGTTCCTTTCCTGCGCTCTGTCTCTCTCTAACTGCATGTTATGATGCAACAGAGCAGGAAAACTGTCACTTACACACTGTGAGGTGGGAGGCATCCACCTGCTGAGGGCCCCCTCAAAGAAAGTCAGATCATAAAACTTGAATATCCAGTTAAGGTCTCTGTATACATACACTCTCATGCTTTCATTCACCAAACTGTCACAAAACAGCAGAAAAGTAACACAGCTTTCCCTCCCTGTTTCACTCAGCTGTTCTTTTATGCTCAGATCAACTGTGAAGCTGTAAAACAGCTGCTGTTCATAAGCAAAGCCCAAGTATAACTCTCTTTATTTCCAGCAGGAGTTTCCCAGAGTGAGCTGAAGTGACCACAAGGATAGCGGAAGTGTTCAGAAGACAGACCACCTGGATGGACAAGAGACAGTTTCTTTAATTTTTCTTTTATCCCCTATCAATTTAGGAAGCCCTCTACTTACTTGGTTCACCCATTCTGGACTCTGGTTTTTAAAGTAGATGCCTGACATCTTGACAAATTTCTGTTATGATATAAACAGGGATCATGAAGAAAATGCATATTTTGCCATCTTGAAAGAAGCATGTGATATCAATGTTCTTCTGCTTATTTACTGTTTTGCAGAAAATGGAGTGAGAGCCGACATACCCTGGACAGGCCACCACATATTCACAGCTATAGCCCATTTAAAATCAGTTAACCTAAAGTCTATGTCTTTGGATTGTGGAATGAAGACAGAGAAGGAGAACTCCACAAAGAAAGGCCCCAGTTGGTCTGGTGGATTCAAACCCACAACCTTTTTAACGTGTTAATCATTGCACCATAACCCAACATTAGCAGATAAAAAAAACTGCATATAATTCTTAATTTGACCTCTAAAAATCTAATGTGGACTCTGTATCTTCTTCTTCTTTAACAACCTAAAAATGCAGTGTTAAAGTGCTAAAAGTTACATTTTAATGTGTTAATAGTAATCTAAGGAAGTTCATTTGTATCTCACAGGTTATTGCCTCTTGTTTGCAAAGATATTAAAATGTCTTTATTTTTTCTGGGGTTTGACATTAATGCCTTCTTTTGAGTCAGGTGACCGGTATAACAAAGGAAAAGTAAAGGGAGACAGCAGAGAAATAAAATGCATAAAATTAAGTTAAGTAAACATTAGCGCATCGTGGTGGCCAAAGGAAGAACATGCCTCAGTTGAAAGCCATGGTGCTCTCAGCTTGCAGCTGTAATGCAGCTGCGAGATTGAGTGCAAGTGAAAAAGTAAACACTACTGCCCCCTCATGGAAAATGAAGCAAATACAAGAGCACTTGGATGTTTTTCTTTAGAGATTTGACATTTCAAGGTAAGATTCTACTATCCTGCATGAGTAAGATTGGTAAGTGAGCATATGACATCAAAGGCCAACACTATACTATAAGTATCCGTAGCGCCAACTAACCTAAGTGTCTTAAATTCACTAGATAATTACTTTAGATACTTGCTTAATTATTTACTACCTGTACACACATCTACACGTGGTGTGGTAAGCTTGCAGTTGTTGATTAAATTAACTTATCGCCTATTTGTCGGTCACAGCAGGCATTTTAGACAAAGACGCAACCAGTCGTAATAAGGATGTGGTGAATTTATTTAGTGGAGCTTCACCTGCCACAACAAGTCAAGGCATAACATGCAAAAAAGAAAAAAAAATCAAATTGCTTTCAGGTACACAGAGTGGCCACTTTTTGGAGTTTTGAATTCTCTCTGTATGATTTGTGCCTCCAATCCTCTAGAGGAAGCACTGGGGCTCTTTTTCTAAACATCTGTACCTTTAAGGAGAAGCATGAGCAAGAAAACATAATGTTTTTGACCATTGTGTGAAAATACAGAAAAACGTGAAACTTCTAAACTAAGAAAATTAAGATGAAAAAATTCATATGCATGCACATGCAGACTGCTGGTGGAGTTTGTCAAAACCAAACAAAGGGATGTTCTTTTTTAACTCCACACATAAAAAGCAAATGTCAGCCTAAATGATTCTGTGGCAACTTTTGTGCTAATGTGCAAACAAGCATAATCCAAAACTAGAAGAATTTCAGGCAGGTTCATTCTATTATTCTGATAATATTATACTAATAAGTCTGCAGTTACTTCATTCAGGATGTAACAGAAATCTGGGGATTTATTACCTTATACTGGATATTTGTTAGTTCATGAATGACCAGCATTAATGAATTGTTTTTGGATTCTATATGGAGTTTAGTTCATATTTTTTTAGCATTATCTTTCATCGTCAGTTTGTAGAAAGCACAGGAAGCACGGGACGACTGGCCATCCTACCTATCAGGAAAAATATCTTAATCACAAACTCTACTGCTGTGGTTTCAGTAAAACTATTTTATGTCTAATATACATTAGCAATTTTCACCTCTCCTGGTTGTCTCCTGGGTGGAGTACAAGGCAAAAGAAACAACTTAAGGTATTCACGTGAGATAGATAGGGCATAAAATTGCTACTAGTTGGTCTCACTGGGTTAGTGTTATTGTTATTTTTCATGAAGTCTTGCTCTTGCAAGAGGTAGGGTAGACCCTGGACAAGTCACCAACACACAGAGACAGACATCCATTCACACTCACATTCACATTTAGAGACATCACTTAACCTAACCCTGTCCTCCTGAGAAGGAAAAAAAGGATCTTCCCATTGAACTTTTGTGTGTGTGTGTGTGTGTGTGTGTGTGTGTGTGTGTGTGTGTGTGTGTGTGTTCCTGCCTCTTTGGAGCTCAAAGAGGCCACCCAAATGCATGAGATATCAACAGAAGGCCAGGAATGTCCTCTATTTAGTAGATCAGGACTTATTAGGGTTACTCAGATAATTCAAAAGATATAGGCCAAAAACAAATGTCCATTACAGAGGACATACATGAATGAGCCGGTTCTCAGGAGGCTGTGTTTGGACTTTGGGAAAAAGTCAGAGAACTCAAACAAACATGGGAAGAAAAAAGCCCCACACAGCAAGACCCCAGGCCGGATTTGAACCCAGGGCCACATCACCAAGGTGCCCCAAGTCCTGCTGTATGTCTGTAAATTACAAAAGTGAAAAGATGTAGCCCAGGGCAATTATTTTGGCTGTATGTTTTATTTTAGATGACTCTTATCTGAAATCTCTGGTTCTAGTTTGTTCTAGGCACATTTTCCACAATAAACATTACTGCTTTTGATTTACAGCTCACTGCTCTGTTTCTTCACAATCTAATACACTGCATCCCAGGCAGACAGACGAAAATAGTGACTGGCTGGAGATCATAGAGAAGGAAAAGCTGGAGAATCAGATATTTGATTCAGACACTGGTAGATACCAAAACAGAGCAAAAAGAAGCAGACAGAGACAAACCCGCAAATGAATGATCCTTTTGTTCTGCATCATCAGGCTACAGGGCAGCTTCTTATATATGTAACATATAAATATATGGGGAAAGATGTGTCAGTGTTGAGTATGTTGCATTGCCAAAAAAAAATCACGTGTCCTTTGTTTCATATGCGTTATGATTATGAAGATTAAGCTGACATTTACCATCCATCCATCCATCCATCCATCCGAGGAACTGTCCAGCATATAATACCTCTATAGGTTTTTCCCGGGGGAGAGCACTGGATGAGTGCCAAAAGGGGGCGTTTGTATCGTGCAGCCGGAGGGGCGGGACCAAAGGTGGGTGTGTGTCTCTCAGCTGATGCGCGTATCAACCGACCGACTCCATCATCAGCATCCGACGCTGACAGCGGTCGAAGACAGCATCCTTAATATTACCGAGCCACGGCATCAACGCGGAATAATTCAGAGCCCGACCGACCAGGACTGACGTCTCTGTCTTTTGACATTATTGTTTGTTGGGGCTGCCATCTTACAAAACCGCCAAGCTGCAAAATAGTGAGTAGCCTTTGATGATGGACCGCCAGGATGCTACAATCGGTAAATCAAAGCCACTGCATGATACGTCGTCAATGTCAATGACGATCTGCATTTTAATCTCGATTCATTTTTCCCAGCCAGCGAGGGTCGTGCGCTTGTGTTTTGGCACAGGCCTAGCAAGTAATTGTTTGGGAGCGCAGTCGATTCAGGGCTTGATGCGGATGCTGCTAAAGCCGCCCTTGCCGCCCAGGGATGCAGAGAAAACGGAGAGAGGGAGTCGTGAGGGGAGGGGAATGAGGCAGAGCAGCAGACAGATAGGCAGTGTATTTTACTACTACTACTATTCACCCAAGTGGAAGTAAACCTCTAGTAAATGGCCTGAGAAAGGGACGTGCATTGCTTGACTGCGCCCTTATCTATCTATCTATCTATCGATCGATCGATCTTTCTACTGTATGATTTTGGTTGATGTAAAAATATCCTGAATCCTACTTTGCGATTCAGAGTAGTGGGTGGCTGCAGATTATACACATATAAACATAGCTTATGTAGGCCATATCAAGGCTTCTGTGTTCTTATCCTTCTCTACAGAGTATATGCTCCTCAGAGTTCCCTGTTTATTTGGCAAACCTAGCTAAAAAATGAATGCACTCTGTTATATCAGTTTTGTGATATATTCTG